TTTTGAGAATGATGAGGGCAACGAATGTACAAATGTGCTTTACACAATTGATGTATGTATGGATTGTGGTAAGAGTTGTATGAGCCCCTAATAAAGCGATTAAAAATAACAAACAAAAAAACCCCAACATCTAGAAGAGTGGTTTTCAACCTTCCTAATGCCACAACTCTTTAATACAGTTCCGGGGGACCCCACAACCATAAAATTATTTTCATTGCTACTTCATAACTGTAATTTTGCCACTATTGCTTCATAACTTATGAATCAGGCATCCCCTGTGAAAGGCTTGTTCAGCCCCTAAAGGGGTGGTCGCAACCCACAGGTTGAGAACCACTGAGTTAAGCGGTTGTAGAGATCCTGTGGGAATTAGAACAATACCAATCTAGCTAAGAGGAAGTACTAAGAGGTAGAAGGTGGAACATGATGGTGAGGCAGGAGGAGGCAAAAGGAAACAGAGGAAAGCTCTAGGAAGCAAAGCTATAGAGGTAATTAATAGGTTTGTACATATATAAATACATTAATCCATAAATATAGAGGTATTGGCCTATGTATATTTATTTATAAGGCAATAGACTGAGACTGCGGATGAGCTTTGGGCCTCAGCTCATAACCTCCTTCAATACAAGAACACTTTGTTCTAACAAAATGGCATTTTGTGATGCTCATACCACTCCCACCACCACCCGACACGATTGCTGTAAACAGAATGGGTGCATAAGCAGATGTTGTGAAGACAGCAGATGGTACTCGGCTATTCAAAGATACAGTGTCTGGGGTCTTAAACAAGTGGCCATCTAACAGTGAAGCAAGAAGCCCGGATAGAAGAAGCACACCAGCCAGTGCGATCATGAGGTGTCATCAGGACTGGGTAACAGGTACTAGAAGATTCATAATAAACAACAAACAAACAAAAACGCGTTGGTGAGAATGAGGGAGGTTGGAGCGGAGACCCAAAGCCTATTTATACAATGGAACACCCCCTACAGAAGGGTCTCAGGGAGGGGATGAGTCAATCAGGGTTCAGTAGAGCACCGATGGATCATGTACTGTATCTCTGATCGCTTGAGGCTTCCTCACCCACCACTATCATGACCCCAGTGCTGCTTCCCACTCTGGACTGGACGGGAGCGTGTACATAGGTATAAGCAAGATATAAAGCTCACGACACACGAAACGCAGGAACAGAAATGGGAATAGTGATACCAAAGAGGAGGAGGAAAGGGGGGAGGTGCAGAGGAAGGGGGTACCGATCACAATGAAGCCACATAACCACACCCCCTCCCTCCAGGGGGAAGAACAACAGAAACCAGAGGGGGAAGTGGGACAGCAGTCAGTGTAAGATAGGAAAATAACAATCTATAATCTTTCAAGGGGCCACGAGGGTGAGGGGGAAGGGGAAAAAGGGAGCTGATATCAAGGGCTCAATAGAAAGTAAATGTCTAGAAAAGAACGATGGCAACTTATGTACTAGTACGTCAAATACAATTGATGTATGGATTGTAACAAAAGTTAAAAGAGCCCCCAATAAAATGATCTTTAAAAAAAAGACCAAAAAATGAGGAGCTGATACCAAGGGCTTAAGTAGAGAACAAATATTTTGAGGATTAGGGCAACGAAAATGTGCTTAACACAGGGGTCCTCAAACTTTTTACACAGGGGGCCAGTTCACTGTCCCTCAGACCGTTGGAGGACTGGACTATAGTTTTAAAAA